TACCACATCTGTGTTGGGCAGGACTGTTCAAAAAATTTTGGGTATGCTCCATACTTGAGTAAATAAGATTGCTTCTTATTCTTCTTTTGTTTGACCGCATTTATTTTAATTATTATTCTTTTTTTTTAGTTCGAGTGGGCCTGGCAACATCCAAAACGGTCTCGAAGATTGAGGTGCATCATCCCAGTGAAGAAGAGCCGAATGACAAAGTTTCAGTGGTTGATTGAACTGCTTGGGAGGATGCTTTGTGTGGATCCCTGGTGCCGACTGCCATTGACGCTCCGCTGGCTCATGCCCAAGTATAAAACGCCCTTCACTGTGAGTGAGATTTTTATTTTTGTGAGGGGCTTCTGCAATTCCTTAGGCTTTTGAAATAATTTTTCGTTATTTTGTTTTGGCAGCATTTTGTTGAAGCTGTAGAAAATTAGCAGAATTTCAAAGAGAATCGTCCAATGAAATATACAAGCATTGTACAAAAGAATGTACAGTGAGACCACCACATGCATACACCTCAACATGTGGACAATTTGACATAGGGTCACTTATTTTCCCATAAATAATGCGCAAGAAAGGCCCAACATGTGGACACAGACTCAAGATGAGGACATTGCATGATAAAATTGCCAATACATTTCACAAAAGTTGACCTTTATTTGGCTTGATTGCAAGAAACAGATATTTCCAACACTGAGATTTATGCAAGAAAAAATTCTTTGGTATTTCTTCCATCACTTTCCCATACATTCAGCTAATTAAAAAAATTATCTTCAGCATAGAGGGACTTCCTTCTCTCTTTGTGACTTGAATGTTATTTTTGCAGATGCAAACATTTCAATGTACAGTACAGAGGTACGCTATTCAATGCTCCAAATGTTCTTATTGAGTTGAAAATATATTCACTAAATCAAATTCAAGTGGCAAAAAATTTTTTCATGGAATTCTGAAGAATATTCTGAAGGAGGGGGGGGGGAATACTTTTTACTTCTAGGAATTATTTAGAGTACGTTACTGTACACGGTGTGCATGCCCAACCAAGATCAACCACTTCATTTTTTTGTTTTTCTTCAGGGCGAATGGATCCCACCCAGTCACATCCAGTACGTGGACGGACTAGTGAAATCCCGTCGAATCCGAGACGTCCTCGAGAACTCGACTCATTCCGCGTCCGGAAACGGATCCTCGTGTTGCCTCGTGTGCGGAGAAGATGTCGCCTCGGTCGCGGACCAGCTCCGTTGTTTCGGCTGCTACAACAAATTCCACCTTCGCTGTTTGGCGGACTTGTTTTTGCGGCGTTCCGGTGAAGTGACTGATGGAATCGTGCCCGTGAGCGGCACTTGTCCGACCTGTGATTTGCAAGTCATGTGGGGCGATTTGGTTAGGTTCAAAAAGGGCTGTTTCCGGGACGTTTTCAGAGATCCCAGTGTTCCTCATCAGCTGAGCCAGCCTTGAAAATTAAAAAAGTAAATTGGAAAT